GAATATTTCTACCAAGCACAGTCTCATTTGAACGCTATCCACATTTAAATTTCAAATTAGAGTTATTTTCTTCTAAATATGAGTACTAAGCCGTTATTTCGCAATTAAATTTGAATCACCTGTTAAATACATCAGAAACTTAAATACTGATTGAGAAAATTGATGTTTCTCTAAACTTTTGCAATAGATTTTTTATGAAAAATTACAAAGACATGATATTTAAATGCGATCAAGAGTTGTTCTTGGAAGTCCTAAACATCATTTCTCGAAATGAATACTGATAATCTGTCATAATATAGAATTTCAGGTATTGATGTAGGATGTGATCTATCGTTTAGAGTTAATTAGTTATTTCTTAGATAGCGCCACTAAAACGATATTTTTAAAAGTGAAAATAAATATTCAAATAATTAAGAATACATAAATGATAATTATTCGGTTAATTAAATAACTTAATAATTTTTAACTCCATTAAATTTTAATTTCTTCAATTTTTTTTTCATTACAAATGCAGGATTCGACCTCAAACGGGCCGTTTATATGATTCGTTTAGCTCAGAGGTTCCCAACCCTATGCCCGTGACCACCATGGCGCCTGCCGATCGTTAATGTGAGCCCGCCGCTGTGCACAATAAAAATATTTTAGTTTTCAATAAAATTCTATGTAAACGTTTTCTCATTTTTAATGAACTAGAAATTGCGTCCAACAAAGATACCAGCACAAAGCGAAATGCGACCGATCTGTTTCTTATATGTGCACGTATTAACTCTATACAACTATAAATTCACCTTGAAAAATTAAATGGTGTCCGCCGTCAAACAGATATTCTAGAATGTGGTCTTATGGATAAAAAGGTTGGGGGGGGGGCTCTGGTTTAGTTGTAAACGTTAGCAATGTCAAACAGCAAGGTAGAAAATAATCATTGCTTTTATTAATGGATTTCCAGAATGCTTTCGCGAAATAATGGGGAAACACTTAAGGTGTGGTACATTGCATTATGCGTATAAACTTTAGCTCTGAATTCCCCCAACACAGTTCACTTGTTTGAGCATTAGTATCGTCTGCAGGATTTTCCTTTGACATTTCGGTGGTTTACAGCTTGATGATCGTATCCTAAGCAGCCCAGATGTTCTATAAAAATGTCATTCGGTATTCATAATAATTGAGCGAGAGATAACTTCGTGCTTGATTATGGGTAGAGACGCCTGTAGTAGCAGCTTGATAAAACAAAACATTCACCAGCTTATATTCGAACATGGAAAAAAAATGGCAGGGAATGATTTAAACAACAATCAGTTTTATTATCGCCATATAAAAGATAAATAAATAAGTAGAATCAGCAGTAAATAACATACTATATCATTTCGGATTTTGGTCAGGGAACTGTAGCAGTTAACACTATTTATATGAGAGCATATATACAAATTTATCACTAATATATGCACAAGTGGTCATTATTTTTCTAAAAGAAAAAGAATCCACCAAAATATTTTCAAGAATCAAATTGTGAATAACCCCGTATAAAGATAATAAATGAGATAAATTTATATGTAACTGAAAACCAGTCTTTTTTTTTAGCAGTCCCACTCATGAGAAGAACATCAAAAGCATTTTTCTAAATAATTTATTCTAAAAGAGTTAAATAATATAATAGAGTATAAAGAAACATTCAAGAGAATTCAAAATATATCGCAGCGATAAATTTATAACGTAATGTTACCTAACCGGAATGGCGTTTAGACAATGCTTTCTTTCACAGTAGGGAAGTTCTAAGAATCCATTAATAATGAAGATATATCGCTTACTTAACTAACAAAAAATTGTCAAATTAACAACCAGCGTTATAAGTTAGAGCCTCTTAAGAGAGAGAAAAAAGGTTTTAATACTATTTAAATGAAAACTAACTATGAAATATTAGCTCATAAACTATTTAAATAAAAATGCATCCTTAATGTACTAAAAATAAAAAATCTGATGTGTACACCACATAACTTCCTTGTACATATTATTAAATTATACGCATTTTTTCTTGCATTTCATTTAAACTTATTGGATTGAATTAAATCTACTTCGCCGACAGCGCATAAACCAGAATAGAATAAATGCATTCTGTTAAATTCACCTATTTGTTCCATAGCCACACTCTGGCGCTAGGTCACTTAACAGCATTATTTCGTTCATATTATAACTCAGAATGTACAAAATTTATATCATTTAAAGAATTATCTAATCGTTGCCACATGTCTATTCAAATACTCTAGTATATCTAGAACGATGTATAAAAGAAATTAAACAAACAAACAAAAAAGAAACAGTTTTTTTCACAGACGATTGAGTATTTCTCATTCAATTAAGTCAGTTCTCACTTCGCGACAAGGCAAAAATACATAAAAACTTCAAATATCTGTATAAAAAATTACGAAGTCAATCTTAAACAATTATCCTCGAAAAAATTCCAGAAAGGATTAAGCATGATTTAATTCGCAATAATAAATGAAGGCGTTATCTTTGTTGTTGCGAAGCTAAGTTTCTCTAGATTGGCAGCAAATCCACTATCCTGCTGTTTCAAATGTAAACAAGCAATGGTAAAAAAATTATTAAGCTTAGCGGCACTTAAACAACTTTAAAATTGTTGATAATTCTAAAAATATTGCATACAGATTTACTAAAAGCATAAAAACCTTAATCGGAAGATAAGAATAACATTTAAAGCAAAAAATGTACAATTTACAAACATATGAGAATAAAGAAACTGAGATCACTGAGCCGGGTAACAGAATGGATATATACATAAATATATTTATATAGGTTTGGTGAGGCCGATTGCAACCAAAATACGAGGTGCACATCTACGTGGTATAGCAGTCCTATATATAAAATTTCAACGTTCTGAGGCTACTCGTTTTTGAGTTATGCGAGATACGTACGTACATACGTTCGTACAGACGCCACGAAAAATTTCTCTCAAATTCATTTTATTTAAAGCAGTTTTATATTTTTTGGAGAGGAAAAGAGTATTTTATTCTGTCCTTACGTACAGATATCACGCAAAAACACATCGTTAAAATTGCATTCGATAGCGGTCAAAATGGATATTTTCTTTGAAATATGCTGCTTGAAACTTTTCGCGATTACAATACTTCCTTTTTACTTCGTACAAGGAAGTAAAAAGGGGGGCCTTTCTAAAATAACGCTAACAGATAGCTCTTCGGTTTCCACACCTTAATATACCATAGGTTAAAAAATTTTATAAAACATTGATGGTATTATTAGTGTCCGGAAATATCATGCATTTATTCCTAACATAATTTTATCAAAGATATCTGCGCTGCATGACTGTATATCATTGTAAAACGCTTCATTTTAAACACTGATTTTCCAAGTACATTTACAGTTAAAACTCAAGCACATAAATTTGCTAAATGGTGTTCACGAATTTCTTGAACATGTTGAATAGAAAGCATAAGCATTCCGAGAGTTGTTTGTACACCATACAGGTGACAGTATGACTTTGCTCAATTTCTCCACAAGTTGTGATGGGAAGCACCCTAGAGGATCGAATTCGATGGTCTTCGCCGCTTTTCCCGTAGCAACAACCTCTCGAGAGGGCTTTCGGCTAACCGCACATTTACAGCGCCCCCATGCCGCAGAGACACTATGCATTTATATCTATGCGTGTCTTCTCCAGGATTCGAGTCTAGGCCCTACGGTACGGCAGTCAGCCACGCTAACCACTATTCCGGTTAAGCGGGCCATATGCAAATAATATATAAATGTGAAGATAAAAAATATGTTAATTCAAATTATCGTCGTAACTCCCCCTCTCTATTCTAAAAATAGTGAATTTCTCTTTGCACTACGTCATTTAGACCATATGACTCTTACATAATTCTGCTGATGTAATTGGAACTAAAACTCAAATAGCTAATAATAACAGTATTAATTATCCAATTGAAATGCATTGAGAACCAGTCTTCTGAATTAATATTTCATCCTGATCATAACTTACTTGCTTTCCACGCTTTGGTTGGCTGGACTGCTACCTGCTACTCTTTTCTTAATGCAAATCTATCAAAAAATGTAAACCTTTCGGAAATAGGCACAAGTAATGTGCCAAGCTGTTTATGGCCTCAACATGTTTACTGAAAAAAAATCCTGATTTAATCTGCCACGGCTGCTAGTTTCCTATTCAATGTGTATCGTCATTTGAGCAATCTACGCTATCGAAATTCTTGCGTTTCATTACAGATTCAACCTTTCTACGTTCTGCACTAGCAATATTGCAATGTACGTATTTAATATATATATATATATATATATATATATGGAATATGGTCAACTAAATGTTAAATAGAAAGTCATCACATGCTGAAGGCAAACTGCATTAAATGCCGTATGCTTAGAATTAGACGCTTCTTTCCAAAGGAAACCTGTTCACTACTCTGCAGCTCTCGAACTTTCCTGAATTCCAGCATGCAGTTCTTACCGATATGAAGTTTTACCGTATCTGGTATATCTGTACATTTCTTAAATTTTAAAATAATGCAAGAATAATACTTTTAGTTATATCTTGAAAATCAAAAAAGCATTTGGAAATTAACTATAAATCAGTTGCTCATCTCAACATCGAAAAAAATCAGCGGTATATTTACATGAAATTTTTATAAAAAATAAATGTTATATTATGTTCATAATAAATTGCACATGTTTCTAACGTTCATGTAATGGTTCTATTGAAACCAGAACACTCAATAAAACAGCACAGATGAAAGGGCTGAAAACGAAACATTATTAAATGAAACAACACAACAGAGGAAAAGCACAACGGAATATGGACAGGAAGAGAAAACGAGATTGTACAACAGACTGACAGATTGAAATAATAGAAAACGAAAAGTAAAGAGAAATCTTAAGTAAAATGAAAAAAAAAAGAAATTTAAATAATAAAAACAGTAATTGGGAAATTTAAAAGTTGAAAAGTGAGAAAGAATGATTTATACTTTTGACTTCATCCAAGTGACTCAAGCTGCTTGCTTTTCTTCAGACGCGTAAAAGCTTTTCGTCTCAACCCGCATTTTCCTCATAGCTGAGCTATAGATAGCAATCTCTTCTGATAAAAGATGCGATAGTTCAGGGAACTGCAATAAATATTTCATTCAGCTAACATTTCAACTTTAGAACTTAATATTTCATTCCTAAGTAGCCAAGAATTGTTGCAGTTAAAGACTATTTGAAAATCAAGCAATGTATTTTCAGATTTATCACCATAGAAGTGATAATTCAAAAGTTTTAAAATGATCTAATATTTATTTGATGTAATATTATGACATAAATTATACTTTGTGATTCCAGGTATTTTATATTTATATATATTAGTTAATGGCACAGAGAAATAAATTATGTATGTATATGTAAATAAAGTAAATTGCCCTGAATTTTCGTGAAGAAAGCAGAATTAAATTTACTAAAATATTTAATTTTTAATACTATAAGACTAATATCTTTAATTTTCATAAAAAAATTTAAATATAAAATATGAATAAAACTAAGTGTATGTTTACACTGATTCATTCCTAATTAGTTCCGTTGTTCGCTGTTCATTAAGAATAGATCAAAGTATTTCAAAAATAATAAATTATATTTTTATATAAAATTTAGAAACTTGAAAAATACATAAATTATTTAACCAATCTTAGACAAGTATGTAAATGTGATTAATTACAACAAGCAAGTTTTGTAAATAAAGACGACAATGCTTTATGCCACGTTATTTGTCTCATCGCGAAAAATAGAACAGAAATTTGTTTTCTATCCGTTTTATCTCTTTCATTAAAAATGTTTTGGCCCTTCTTTGGAATATTCATTCAATAGTAATTATACTGCAGATTTAAAGCACAGTTAATCTAATCATTGTACTCTCGAAAGAACTGAAAATATTCTAAATTTTGGATTAAGTTTGGAGTTATGACTTCCAAAAGAAAAAAAAAAAAAATGAGAAATTCCAAAAGAAAAAAGAAAGGCAGAAATGTTTTTTCTACAGTTTTGATCAAGAGAATTGATGCCTGTCCTAATCTGAAACATACTCCTTACACGTAAAAAGGAACTCATGCAACACCAAATAAATGTAGCTCTGTAAATGAGGACGGGTTAGTTGTCAATCAACTCTGAGACTTTACAGTTCAAAGAGAGATGAGTTTAACTTTCTGAGTGATTTGGGAAATTTACGGTATTCCTTGCGCCTGAGGAGGAATTTTTTAAAATATGCATTGTCTTTGAGCTATTTACAGCTACTGATTCTAGTGTGTTTATAATATATAGTCAATTTTTTCCCTGCTCATTAGGAAGGATTATTTAAAGAGAGGGCAACAGAACCGTACGTTGCAACAATATACACCAGCGGGCAAATCTTAAGCAACTTCTTTAATTTTGGCCATAATTCCTCAAAACATCAACTATGAGATGTGAAATTCATACAGAGGTACAATGTAATATTAAAAGATGAGGAAAGTATAGTAGTAAAAAATGAATAGGACGCATACAGTACAGAAAGAATAGAAAAAGGCTTTATTGATAGAATGGCGTAGATAGAAAAAAACTACTTGGCCAAGAGTGAGAAAAAGAAACCATACAGCCTTAATACGGGATATGATTTTCATACACTGCTATGGTTGTGTTACACCGTCTGTCGATACTCAACACACAATATTTAACATTTCTTGGGGTAAGAGTTCCCAGTCTTCGATGAACATATGTTTCATTCATTTTGGTGTTCTCTGGAGGGTACGCTTTCAACTGTGTGGACATGCATAGTCAACAAAGTCGGGACCAATGGCACCCCGGAATAGATGCAAAGAGGGTATAACTTCCTCTCAGTAACAATTTTCGGTAAGTGAATCGCTTTCAAAAATTTAGAACTCCGTCTGTTCATTCCTCATACTGCCTCCCCATACAGGCACACCACGATAGCCCTAAAGGACCGTTCCCACTGGGATTTATGTGAACGGAGACAACTGACGTAGACGACCCATCTCCCAAACCAGTTTATTCCCATAGGGCAGCAAGCTGAAAAATCTGAACTGCAGGCATAGCTCAGCTAGTCGACATATGGAAGTGACTCCGTTAGCTCAGATAAACCCCAGTGGGAACGGCCCTTAATGGTCTCTGCCTGATGTTAGAGGAATAAAAGGGTTTCCCTACCTCTCTCCATATCAAATGGCGCTAGAAATCGTTTGCCAGACTGGAGCGACTCTCATAGTTAAAGAAGACTTGACTCCATTGATGATGAGTCGAGTCTTTGTGTTCTCTGCAACACAGTGTCTTCCCCTCATGGGCTGCTGGCAATGGCTTTCAGGACGGCGGGCGAATAGGTCACCTTGTGTCTGGCTACAGTAAACCGGGCAACTGTCGTCCGGTTGCCTTTCGTTGTAGATATATTATATGTTTACATGTAGATATGTAACATCTTAATCAGCAGAATTGTTTAATGAGTAACTCATGCCCGAACAGTATCGTGATTCTTTCTGTCAGATGTTCTTACAGATGTCGATTACTGCCTTCTGACTTATTGTTGCATACAAGCATGCTTTATGATATTGCGTACCTGTACCTTCTCTGATAATTAATTGCATTACGATTTGAAAAAAGGTTGCCACTGAAAAATACAATATCACGCGCGCTTATTTATTATAGATCTAATTGATTGCTCAGTCCAGAGCAGCTACTGTTAGCGAAATATGTTGCATCAGCATGGACGACATACAAGAAGGCTTTATCTTCGCGGAATTATTCATTTTTTATTGATAAAGAAAGTTTAGAAATAGGATCTAATAATGATATTGGACTACGTAATATTCATCAAATTGGCCAAGATAACTAATAGACATACTGCAAGTAAAATTTTAGGGCATTTTAGACATGAAAAATCTCTCATAGGTCTCATGGCACTCTGTTGCCACAATGGTTAGCTTACAGCACTTGTTTGCCAGACATATAAATGATAACCACTATCTCCACACATATTTGACAGTTCACTTAAACGCTGCAATATGCTTTGTCCCTTCAATGAATATTGTTGCGTTTATCTTTCTTCTGACACCAGTTATTTCGTTATTTCCTTCCTACACGTTCGTACGGGGTTCGTAGATTTGGAGTAAATAACGATGACACTTGATGAAGCATCGAAACACACTTTATTTAGCCAATATTAATCAGGACAGCTCCAAAGTCACTTTTTACAGTCGTTGAAGATCTACTATAAGCACGCTGGAACAGTCAGCGACACAGCCTTGACACTGTCAGGCAATAACGGTGGAGACTTCCTGCAAAGCACCCGACTCTGCTTTCCGGAGTACAGCTCCCGACTCTGCCTGTCGTTCTCGGAATCTCTCGAGACTTCCATGCTACGCTCGCGATGCATTCGACGACACACAGCGCGGTTCCCGACTCTTCGGTTCAGTCGTTTCCCGCTCTCACCGACGATGTACTAACCTCGATACTTCCTTCGGTGCCACTCGACCCTCGGCATCGCTGTATCACCTCGATCCGCAGGCATTGACTGACGAGACACCAACTCGTATGCCTGACGAGGACACCCACTCGCCTCGATGAAGCACACACTCAGACTGTGGACCAGCAAGGTTTATATATAGATTTCGGCCTGTGTTCGAGAACATTCTGGGCTAAACCGGTAAGAATTCGTTCCAGAAGGTTCTCCAACCGTCCAAGGTAAATCGCCAATTCTGTCGCCAAATGTAGCCAAATGGGCGATTTCTCGCCGAATGTGGTAACGCTGCCCTCCTTGCTCTTTTATGGCAACCCTAAAACTACTTTGAGGGGAAGCTATCTTACCGCGCCTATACATTTCGTAAGAATATTCTTTCAACGGTGAGGTGACAATAGTAATATTGGTTTACGGCACGCAAAATCTTAATACTTTTTTCAAGAATTAGATGCAGCTTATTTTGTTTAATCCTGTGTCTAATGCAGCTTTACTTTTCACTGTATCTGTCATTTTGTCATCTAAACTGTCTTTTGTGTTTTCTAATTTATGCATTCATTCGTTTATCGCCACTTACCCCAAACAGGTTTTGCTTATCTCTCGTGAAAATTAGATCCACCATTCAGAACTCTCATCGACTGAGCATACTTGTCATCGTATACATTGAAAATCTAGCGAAAGGTCCATTGTCATTTCTACAGAACACAATATGATTATTTTCAAATCTGTCTGTGGGTAAAAGATGCAAGTCTTTACCATTATAAATGATCTAATGTGCACATTCGTTATTTCTCGATTCGTTAAATTGCTTGAAAGATTTCTGAAAATTTGTCTCAGCTTCTCCTTTTCCTTCCCCTATTTTAAAGACATGGATATATTACATTTGTAAGTACAATACCCATAAGCTCTAACTTGAACAACGGTATCATATACATCATAGAGCAAGTCATACGTCATTAGAGAAATGAATTCATAAATGAAAGCATATTGAGGAAATATTCAAGACTTATTCTTTATTATTATGTAAATTCTTTCTATTATAATCTGTCTCTGCATACTGTTGACAAAAGATTGTTTTTGCGATATTCTCGCGTTAATGTGCATAATTTAAGTGCAAAAAACTGAATTCGAAATCATTTGCTTCTGAGTAACAAAGGCGTTAATTATTAATTCCATTTAAGATAAAAAGATTTCATATTCGAGAGTCAATAGTTAAGAAAATTATGAAGATCTTCATATACATGTGCTCTTGACGTGCGTAACGGAAGTACAGGCACTTGGCGACTTTGACAATTAATGATTTTTCTTCTGAAATACTATTAATAATCAGGTATTTGAATTAAGCGTTAAGATCATAATTATTGCACGTAATTATTAAGAGCTGTTACATTTAAATTTAATTATTTATGAGCTACCTTAGATAGATTTTTAATATCTATTCCACTGCTCTTAGAACAAGATAAGCCAGAGTTTTCGAAATTTTAGGTTAGGTTATAAGGGACTTTTTTGTAAACTAATACATTATTTGTAGCTTAGTTCTTTCTTTTTCATCCGTCAGCCTTCAACAGAATGTAAATTAGTTTAATTAGAAAGCGAATTTGAAGGCAGAAACCCCTATATCGACAATGTTAAAGTGG